GTCAAGATTCTGCGAGAGGCAACCGGCATCAAGACCAAGTCAGCGACAAGGCATAATCAACATTAGCGGTGAGTGGGAGTGTTAAAATTACACCGCTGAATGCGTGTGGATGATCACGGATGCTGATTACGGACATAATGGTAGTCGCTCATCGGTCTAGATAGATAATGTTACATAAAGAAGCTTTTAGAAGGATCCAGAAGGACAGGCTTAGAGGTAGCACAGAGTAGCAAACTAAGGACCTAAATATATTCACTTCGGTTTTTGCCATCTTATCAACAAACAAAAAAGTAATCGATAACTTCGAGAAAAATGAAAGGCATGATGACGATGCAGCTTATACACAGCAGACCGAACGCGAAGTAAAGAAATGATTGTCTGCAAAAGAGCGTCGTGACCTGAAGAAGGGCAAAACTCACAATGACATAAAGGATAATTCCGTCAAACTATGACGGTGCAGACGAAAAATGTACGTGGTAAGAAAGGCAAGATGAAGAAAATGAAGAAAAATACGCTGATCAGTATGACGAAGATCGTCGCTTACGTATGGAAGCATTGGGTCACGTTGTTGAGTAAGCAGGCGGAATCGAGGCAAGAAATTAGTAGCTATTGAAGAAAGTAATGACGATGCAGAGATGGAGGCAAATGAGGAATCTATTCTTCAACAGCGCCAAAAGAAGGATAAATTTCTTGACGAGCAGGAAGCTGAAGCAGAAAATGTTTATATATTTCTATGCTTTTACAGGAGAACCAAGGCCGAACGACATCGTGTTGTTCGCAGTTTGCTCACCTTATACGTCATTGACCAAAGTTTTATACAAGATTAAGCTGACACCAGGTGGTCTAAAAAGGGCAGGGCGGCAAATCAGGCTATGAAATGTTTTTTTCATCTAATTTAAAGAACGCCAATCGTCCACTGATTAATGCCCAAGATAATTGTCAGCTGGCGTTGTACAGCGTGAGCGCTTGAGTTGCATTTCAGCAGATGATCTCATTAACTATATTTGGTCTGGGTGTGTATTTGTCAACGCAAAATGCAACAAAGGTGGAGTCAAGTGCCTACCGAACAAGGCAATGAAGAATGGCAACAAATAGCACTTTTGGACATTTTAATCGATCACTTGAGAATGTAAAGCAGATACTAGTAGCCATATCGGTATCGATACCAGCTTCACATCAATCAAATTTATAAAATAGGTCACATGGTAGTGTATTTGATATATATCAAATCCTCAAAGTCATTTGGGTAGGGTGTTTGCTCAAGGCTCCACGATTGTTCGTTCGTGTAATCATGCGCTTGTTGAACGACTTAATCACGCTTCAATGAGTATATTCCAATTTGTCATTCTGAGCATTATCCAGGAGAGTGATTGACGCTATCAATTCTTCGTCCTCATTGATGCTGATATTGATGTACGTGTAAATACAAATAATTAAGCCAAAGTGCAAATTTCGTACAAGTGTTTATTGATCCAAAAATTGTGTGTGTAAAACTTGACTTCAAGAAGTCTAAGTTCGTCTTCAGATAGTTTTACTAGCATGAAGTCTCGTGTTCGTTCATTATTTAAATCGTCAATGTGTTTCACAGATTAACACTTTGTTTCTTTCGACATTGAAGACTTTTATTTACTCGGCAACGCGGTTTTAAGAACATGGTGTTCTATATTATAACATCATTGGTACGAAGAGTGTTTGTTAACGTTTAAAGCGCAGATAAAAAAAGTCAACAAAAAAATATTTATAAAAAATGTTATCAATTGATACTATGGATTACGATCTTCTTTCTGCTCAAGTGCCTTAAGGTACTGCAACATCTCCTTTGCCAGCTTCTCTCTTTCATTCCTTTGCAAAACTTCTTCAAACGTCGTATAATACTCATCTGCAACAGCTGACTTAAGGAAGCCCACTTTATCTTGATCCTGGAGTATCGATCTGAAAATATTTGCCAATTTTTTTTGCTTCAATGCATTCATGAATTTCTCCACCTGTTCTTTATTCTTAAGAGCCGCTCGAAACAACTCTGCCCGATCATCATCTTTGATAGCCACTCTAAGTGAAAATACTTGATTCATATTATTTCTTACTTGACGAAACGGAGACCTCAGATTCGTATCACCCAGCGTATTTGAGTAGGCAAACAGCTTTTCTTTATCCATCAAACCCGTTCTAAATGACTCCAATTTCTCCTCGTCCTTCACTGCCTCTTCGAGAAATCGCACTTTATTCTGATCTTCGAGAATCGCTTTGAGTATAGGCACCGTATCCAATTCCTTGCTGCTTAACATGTCGTCAAGTACTGTAAATCGTCCTAAAAAGTCCCTAAGTTTCTTCACACCTTCATCGTCCGCCATAAACATTTTAAGCAGATCCAATGTTTTCTTATCCAGGATAAACTCATGGAGAACAGTCACAACATCAGATTCTTCCTCCCTTATCTCCACATCACTTTTCGGCAGAATCAATAGAGGTTTTACCTCAATCTCTACACCATTCAAATCTGCCTGAAACAATTGCACTGATGTCTCGTCTTTGAGTCCCGCTTGAACCCATTGCACAAATTTCTCGTTCTTAAACATTCCCTCAAACGTTGCTTTCATATGATAATTGCCCGACAAAAGAAGCGGCCTCACTGAATCCTTTCAAAGCCTCTCTGACCAATTTCGCTTGATCGTTAGACTGCACTGCAACCTTGAAAAAGCGCAACTCATCCTCACCGATTTTCGTCCAATCAAAATCAAACCAATGGATTCGAAAGGTGGGGACGTATGTCGATGATAGCAATTCTTTATTATGAAAAAGTTCTTTTTGCATACTTTATTGAAGGTTTAAGGTCGCCGGTTATGGTACTATTATAGTCACCAGCTATCGGTC